GAATTCTGAGGTAACAAAATCAACTAGAACTCTGTAAAAGTGATTTATCAGAAATCATGCCCTTACTTCCATGATAAGAGGAATTCGTAAAAATTATAAGCAGGTTGTGGCTTATTATCTAGTAAAAGATACAAGAATCCCAGATCTGAAAACGATTATTGTTCATGTGATCACAAACTTGCAGCGACTTGGTTTGTGCGTCGTTGGCACTATTTGTAATCAGGGCGCAACGATCAAAAACGCACTTGAGACGATTTGCTCGGAGAATACTCACGGATCAAGTCCATTCCATTTTATAGCAATGCTCAGAGTATTTCTACAATTTTTGATGAACCACATTTATTCAAAAATGGATGAAATGCTCTTATTGACATTAATATGAAAGTGAAGAAGCTGCACAGCTTGAACATGTCTAGAAAGCAAATAATGTTGATCAGCAAACAAGACCATACAAGAGCTATGTAAATTGAAACCCAGCCACTTTGATTTTATAGATTCGTTTAAGAATATAGAAATTAATCCTTTAATGGTATCGTCGGGTGATTCGAGCTTTCTCAGTTATGTGGTGGGGGTCCCGTGACTTCTCATACGGTATAAGCACGTATACCTCAAACCACAGTTTAATTTAAACATCACAAGTGTTGGTTTGTTGACTTTGCGGTCAAATTTGATCCGAGGATGTCAGTTGCGTGTACGATTTGAACTTCCTTCACAATGGATTTTTTCGTTGTTGGCGGATGAACAATACACCACGCCGAGGACGACGCTGTTAGCGATCAACCTGAACAACTTCCTATGGGCGACCTCGCTATGCTTATAGAAAAAACATGTACAATTGGTCAAAACAAGCGCCTGCAACTGGTCGATCCAGACGACAATATTATTACGCATTTACCTGAACTAAAGTCCGTGGCAACCAATTTGGAAAATAATAACCCTGTGACTCGAGAAATGCAGATAAATTTCTCCAAATACGTGAAATTTTCGAGACACTCATAGAGAACTGTCGAAATTTTATATTTCGGGTGAGTCCCCTACAAAATACGAGATGCTCGTGGGCCGATGTCCTTCCTGTGCCTACAAGAAACTAAACCGAATAAGTATGGACTGATGATGCAAAGACTCACCACTACCTGCTCAATGCTTTCGTCTATACGAACAGAAATATCACACCAGTAGAATTACATGTAGAATTGCGCATCAACCAACTGACCAATGTCGGCAGGAAGCGTAAAAATAAGTAACAAGTACCCCAACATGTAGTTCCAAATAAGAAGGAAACACAGCCAGGTACTTCTAAGTTTATGTTCACTAGCACTACAGCCTTAGTGTAGTATCTTCCAAAAGCAAATACACATGTTCTCGTATAGCAATCTATGCAGCATGATAACAAAATAGTAGAGGAATCAAAGAAACCTGATAAGATTCTATATTATTTTTATAACACTATGAAGGCGGGGGTAATGCATTAGATCGGAAGTGTGTAAATTACAATACTGGTTAGAGAACGAGAAGATGGCCTTGTGCTATTTGGTATCCAACCAGCTTCTGTAAATTCCTTTTTTTTTCAGTCTGGGACTGAAAGTTCTATTAGGCGACGAAATTTTATTGTTCCCCTGAGCGTTTTATGCGTACAAACCTGTTGTACACATGGCTAAAAACAGTAATGGCATTTCAGAAGTTGATAGTAAGATCCGGTGGATAACCTGTTTTGCGAGATTAGACGTGGGATTTCCAACACGAACACCATCTGCTTATTTGCAGCATTAAAAACTGTAATAATCAACAATTTCAGTTTTCCATTGTCAATAATGAAGAATTATGAAGGCGATTCATGTAAGGCACTAGGTAACTTCGCGTTGCTTTTAGAAGAGTATTGTCTGAATAGACAACAGTTACCTTGTGATTCTTCACCGAGCTGCATTTTTCAAGTTGAAAAATCGGGTGCTGAAAGTGATGGATCTATAGATTTGTGAGAATTTGCTTCTGCTTCAACTTCTTTTTGTAATAACAATAACAGTCTATATGAAATTTAACAATTCTGTTTCTTCTTTGATTTTGAGTCACCCTGTAAATGTAGCTCTACTAAACTATCGGACCGCATTCATAGCCTACAAGAGAAAAAAATCTTCTATACTGGAAAGGAGGAAAAAAAGAATGTATCAACCTGATACATCTGCCCCTCTTTATAACCCGTGAAATAGCCCTAGTTCTAATTAAATTTCAGTTCAAGCTTCCAAAATGACTTCCGACAATATTAAAATAGCCATAAAGATCAGACCAATGATCCACCGCGAAGTAGCCGATGGTCTAGAGCGTCTTTGGAACGTAAGAGAAACTGCATTGGGAAGCCGATGAAAGTAGTCGCCATGGAGAGGTTTATATATTCGACCATGTATTTAACCAGGAATGTACAAATTCAGATGTATATGGATCTGTAGTAAAACCTTTAGTCGATTCCTTCATGGAAGGTTTCAATGCACAATATTTGCATATGGCCAAACATCTTCTGGCAAACACACACCATTTGGGCAATAAAACAGATCCTGGGCTTTTCCAATTAGTATCCAATCAGTTATTCCAGCATGTGGCAGACCAGGTTGATAAGAGGTACTTGATTAGATTCAGTTATATTGAAATCTACAATGAAAAGATCAATGACCTCCTGGATAAGAGCAATCAGGGTTTAACTATAAGGGAAGATATCAAAGGAAATGTGCTGTTGATGCAAGGGAAGCTGTCGTAGACAATGTTGATCAAGTTATGGAGAACATGATGTAGGGCAATAAGATCAGACGAGTTGCAGCTATTCGCATGAATGAGAGGTCATCTCGATCACACACGATTTTCCGGATTATTCTGGAGTCGAAAGATGCCAATCAGAAAGATGGACCTGTACATATAAGCTACCTTAACTCAATGGACTTAGCTGGTTCTGAGAGAGTTTCTCTGACGAAAGCTGCTGGTGAGCATCTTAAAGAGGGGGCTAACATAAACAAATCTTTGTCAGTATTAGGAAATGTGATAAGGCAACTAAGCGAGGGGAAGGAGTTTATCAGTTATCGCGATTCGAAATTGACTAGACTGCTCTCACAGGCTCTTGGCAGTAATGCCAAATCATTGATTATCGGGAATGTTACTTCAGCTGCAGAGGAGGAGACTAGATCTACACTAGAATTCGCCCAAAGCACTAACACTGTCAAAAATAAACCGAAAGCAAACATCTTGTCAGCTACAGAAGAGGCACTTCAAGGATATCAGAACTTGACTCGCGATCTCGAAACTCGGCTCAAAAAGCAGGCAATTAAGCTAGAAGAGATGGAAAAGCAAACAAGAGTATCTGCTCGAGATAGAAAGACTAAAAACGGAAGTATCTATTGTCGGGCGCTTCCAAATGGGAGCCTCGGCATCAACACCGAAAAAAACATTAAGACGTCATACTTTTGGACTATGGCAACGTATCACCTAAAAAAGCATCCCTACGGTATATGCCATTGAAAAATTATCCACCCGAAGAAGAATCATCCGGACGTGAAATGAGGCCTATTCAAGAAGAGACATATGAGGAGGCACTAGCCGAAGCAGAATCTGTGATAGCTGAAGACGTGCAAGTGTACTTAAAAGACAACGCAAAGAACTGGAAGAATCTTTCAATGAGCTTAGAGAATTCACTAAACTAGATAATCAGCTGGAGATTTTGGACCTGAAGAAACAGCTCACAGAAGCCAATTCTAAAATCGATCGTTACAGTCAGAACTCCGCCAAGTAACGGATGCGTACAACGAAGAAATAGAAAGAGTTCAAAAAAATTCTCAAAAAGCGCAAGAATTCATCGACTTGCAATACAGACTCGATTTTCTGGAAAAAAATAATAAAAGACTAAAAACATACGAGTCAGAAATAGAGATGCTGCGTACTCAACTGAAGAACCTAGGAAGATCAGAGAGCCCTAAACCATCTCTTGAAGCTCAAAATATTGAGTCAAAAAAGAAGGTTGCAGACTTAGAAGCTATGCTTGACGCTGAGTACGAAGATATGCAAGATTCTTTAAGTGCTGCTACACAAACTGATGTAACGATGTCACACATTGCTGAACTGCAAGATGAAATTGGCTTCCTAAAAGAACTTGAATCTAAACTGAGAAATGACGTAAAGAGTCTGATGGACGAGAGTAACCAACGTGAGGTCAACCACTCATTTAAAATCTCAGATATACGATGCCATAATGATTCTACTATAAAAGAGCTTCAGGATCAAATGGCTGAACTGGAATGCCAAAACGAAATCTGGATTATGAAAAGTGCCCCTCTTTATAACCCGTGAAATAGCCCTAGTTCTAATTAAATTTCAGTTCAAGCTTCCAAAATGACTTCCGACAATATTAAAGTAGCCACAAAGATCAGACCAATGATCCACCGCGAAGTAGCCGATGGTCTAGAGCGTCTTTGGAACGTAAGAGTAAACTGCATATGGGAAGCCGATGAAAGTAGTCGCCATGGAGAGGTTTATATATTCGACCATGTATTTAAGCAGGAATGTACAAATTCAGATGTATATGGATCTGTAGTAAAACCTTTAGTCGATTCCTTCATGGAAGGTTTCAATGCCACAATATTTGCATATGGCCAAACATCTTCTGGCAAAACACACACCATTTTGGGCAATAAAACAGATCCTGGGCTTTTCCAATTAGTATCCAATCAGTTATTCCAGCATGTGGCAGACCAGGTTGATAAGAGGTACTTGATTAGATGCAGTTATATTGAAATCTACAATGAAAAGATCAATGACCTCCTGGATAAGAGCAATCAGGGTTTAACTATAAGAGAAGATATCAAAGGAATGTGCTGCTTGATGCAAGGGAAGCTGTCGTAGACATGTTGATAAAGTTATGGAGAACATGATGCAGGGCAATAAGATCAGACGAGTTGCAGCTACTCGCATGAATGAGAGGTCATCTCGATCACACACGATTTTCCGGATTATTCTGGAGTCGAAAGATGCCAATCAGAAAGATGGACCTGTACATAAGCTACCTTAACTTAATGGACTTAGCTGGTTCTGAGAGAGTTTCTCTGACGAAAGCTGCTGGTGAGCGTCTTAAAGAGGGGGCTAACATAAACAAATCTTTGTCAGTATTAGGAAATGTGATAAGGCAACTAAGCGAGGGGAAGGAGTTTATCAGTTATCGCGATTCGAAATTGACTAGACTGCTCTCACAGGCTCTTGGCGGTAATGCCAAATCATTGATTATCGGGAATGTTACTTTAGCTGCAGAGGAGGAGACTAGATCTACACCAGAATTCGCCCAAAGCACTAAAACTGTCAAAAATAAAACGAAAGTAAACATCTTGTCAGCTACAGAAGAGACACTTCAAGGATATCAGAACTTGACTCGCGATCTCGAAACTCGGCTCAAAAAGCAGGCAATTAAGCTAAAAGAGATGGATAAAAGCAAACAAGAGTATCTGCTCGAGATAGAAAGACTAAAAACGGAAGTATCTATTGTCGGGCGCTTTCAAATGGGAGCCTCGGCATCAACACCGAAAAAAACATTAAGACGTCATACTTTTGGACACTATGGCAACGTATCACCTAAAAAAGCATCCCTAGGGTATATGCCATTGAAAAATTATCCACCCAAAGAAGAATCATCCGGACGTGAAATGAGGCCTATTCAAGAAGAGACATATGAGGAGGCACTAGCCGAAGCAGAATCTGTGATAGCTGAAGACGTGCAAGTGTACTTAAAAGACAACGCAAAGAACTGGAAGAATCTTTCAATGAGCTTAGAGAATTCACTAAACTAGATAATCAGCTGGAGATTTTGGACCTGAAGAAACAGCTCACAGAAGCCAATTCTAAAATCGATCGTTACAGTCAGGAACTCCGCCAAGTAACGGATGCGTACAACGAAGAAATAGAAAGAGTTCAAAAAAATTCTCAAAAAGCGCAAGAATTTCATCGACTTGCAATACAGACTCGATTTTCTGGAAAAAAATAATAAAAAGACTAAAAACATACGAGTCAGAAATAGAGATGCTGCGTACTCAACTGAAGAACCTAGGAAGATCAGAGAGCCCTAAACCATCTCTTGAAGCTCAAAATATTGAGTCAAAAAAGAAGGTTGCAGACTTAGAAGCTATGCTTGACGCTGAGTACGAAGATATGCAAGATTCTTTAAGTGCTGCTACACAAACTGATGTAACGATGTCACACATTGCTGAACTGCAAGATGAAATTGGCTTCCTAAAAGAACTTGAATCTAAACTGAGAAATGACGTAAAGAGTCTGATGGACGAGAGTAACCAACGTGAGGTCAACCACTCATTTAAAATCTCAGATATACGATGCCATAATGATTCTACTATAAAAGAGCTTCAGGATCAAATGGCTGAACTGGAATGCCAAAACGAAATCTGGATTATGAAAAGTGCCCTCTTTATAACCCGTGAAATAGCCCTAGTTCTAATTAAATTTCAGTTCAAGCTTCCAAAATGACTTCCGACAATATTAAAGTAGCCACAAAGATCAGACCAATGATCCACCGCGAAGTAGCCGATGGTCTAGAGCGTCTTTGGAACGTAAGAGTAAACTGCATATGGGAAGCCGATGAAAGTAGTCGCCATGGAGAGGTTTATATATTCGAGACCATGTATTTAAGCAGGAATGTACAAATTCAGATGTATATGGATCTGTAGTAAAACCTTTAGTCGATTCCTTCATGGAAGGTTTCAATGCCACAATATTTGCATATGGCCAAACATCTTCTGGCAAAACACACACCATTTTGGGCAATAAAACAGATCCTGGGCTTTTCCAATTAGTATCCAATCAGTTATTCCAGCATGTGGCAGACCAGGTTGATAAGAGGTACTTGATTAGATGCAGTTATATTGAAATCTACAATGAAAAGATCAATGACCTCCTGGATAAGAGCAATCAGGGTTTAACTATAAGAGAAGATATCAAAGGAAATGTGCTGCTTGATGCAAGGGAAGCTGTCGTAGACAATGTTGATAAAGTTATGGAGAACATGATGCAGGGCAAGATCAGACGAGTTGCAGCTACTCGCATGAATGAGAGGTCATCTCGATCACACACGATTTCCGGATTATTCTGGAGTCGAAAGATGCCAATCAGAAAGATGGACCTGTACATATAAGCTACCTTAACTTAATGGACTTAGCTGGTTCTGAGAGAGTTTCTCTGACGAAAGCTGCTGGTGAGCGTCTTAAAGAGGGGGCTAACATAAACAAATCTTTGTCAGTATTAGGAAATGTGATAAGGCAACTAAGCGAGGGGAAGGAGTTTATCAGTTATCGCGATTCGAAATTGACTAGACTGCTCTCACAGGCTCTTGGGGTAATGCCAAATCATTGATTATCGGGAATGTTACTTTAGCTGCAGAGGAGGAGACTAGATCTACACCAGAATTCGCCCAAAGCACTAAAACTGTCAAAAATAAAACGAAAGTAAACATCTTGTCAGCTACAGAAGAGACACTTCAAGATATCAGAACTTGACTCGCGATCTCGAAACTCGGCTCAAAAAGCAGGCAATTAAGCTAAAAGAGATGGATAAAAGCAAACAAGAGTATCTGCTCGAGATAGAAAGACTAAAAACGGAAGTATCTATTGTCGGGCGCTTTCAAATGGGAGCCTCGGCATCAACACCGAAAAAAACATTAAGACGTCATACTTTGGACACTATGGCAACGTATCACCTAAAAAAGCATCCCTAGGGTATATGCCATTGAAAAATTATCCACCCAAAGAAGAATCATCCGGACGTGAAATGAGGCCTATTCAAGAAGAGACATATGAGGAGGCACTAGCCGAAGCAGAATCTGTGATAGCTGAAGACGTGCAAGTGTACTTAAAAGACAACTCAAAGAACTGGAAGAATCTTTCAATGAGCTTAGAAATTCACTAAACTAGATAATCAGCTGGAGATTTTGGA